ACATGATCATACATACTTAGCTAATTTTGCTAATACGTATTTTGTTTTGACTTTGCCCTGTGTACCATTTATGGTAAGCAGGTGAATATATATTTCAGGTGGAATCTAAATGCTGCATTGGGAGTCCATGGGAATTTCACTTAGATCTAGGGTTGTCAACTTTTTTATTTAGTTTGGATAATTATACTTTCGTTATTATATTTTTCATTTATTGAATAAAATTGAGTAAGTATTTCCGTTGCAAGAGTTGTTTTAAAGTTAGCCTTACGTTATCACGTGACGGTAATACGCCCAATTCTATCTCTACGATATTTAATACGTATTATACTAGTAATTTTGTAGAGGGAGAATTGGGGGCGTTACAATTTCGGGTCTCCGGCATATATTTTCCACAAAATAGTTGAATAGGTGCTTATGCTGAGAGCAACTACCTTATGTCGCATTATTTTGCACGAAAAATCAATAGTTGGAATTATTTAGATCTAATTTTTCATTAAAATAAGTAAGTAGATTATTTTATACTTCTTCCAAATTCTTTTAAATAATGCATCACTTGTTTGATTCAACTGTTTCCTAAATGCATCATTTCTATATATATATTTGGTAATATCATACTTCCTCAGTTCTTTTTTCAGTGCAACACTTTGACTTTTACACTATTCATACACTCTACTTTGACTAGCTTTGCTAATTTATAGATAAGGAATAATATAGTTATGTGGGATCTTGTTAAATTCATCTTGGTTTATAGTTTATTAAATTCAAATTGTTATAATTTTTCCACATTTGTTATCAAAGATATTAATGATTGAAATAATACATTGGCAAACGTAAGATGAGAAGTGTTGTACTTAAAAGAGAACAAAGGAAATATTATTATTTCTATGTTATTTCTTTTTTTTTCCTACTTCTCCCCACTCAAAATATTTTATCATACATCTTTTTTTCATATATTTAAAATAATTATAAATTTTTCTCAAATTAGGGGGAAAAAAAGAAGAAAGAAACTATAAATAGCCACATTTTCACATGCTCTCTCTTTTATGGTCTCCTCACATGCTCTATCTTTTATGCTCTTCATTATGGTACTTTTATAAAAGTAATTTAGTACGTTTGTCATTTATAACACTTGCACGTTATAATATTACAAACCAATTAAATTTTTGAAAAATTCGCGTGAATGCAAGTGATATATTATAATAAAATGGAAAAAGTAAATAATATGTTTAAAATTTGGATGACTTAAATATCAAGAATTGCTAAGCTAGAGTGAATATTAAATCTTACTTGTCAAAGTTGGAGCCAAATGCAATATATTCCGGCCATCAGAAACATCCTTGAGATATTTTGTCCAGCCCTCTTTATCTAATCTTGACATTATAACTTCAGTTACTTCTTGACAATTATTCTGGATAGCAAGAAACAAAGTCGAGTGCTCCGGCTTGTAATAATCTAGTAGTTCGTTAATGTGATCTTCCTCATGTAGAGACAATATGTATAATGCAAGTTTTTCACTTTTGTTGCGTATGGCCGCATGCAACGGACCTTCCTTTTCTTTATTCTTTGTGAACCATGGCAATTGAGTAGCAGGATACCCATTCCAATTAGGAAACTCTTCTTTGAAAGCTTCTACAAGGAGCTTTACTACTTGGTTTGTTGCTTCATTGGTGGTAGTTGCAGCAACAAGATGAAAAGGGTTGCTCCGGTTATTGTAGTCTGTTTCCCTTATGAGCTTAACAAAGCTACTCCTCCACTTGCTCTCTAACATGTATTCGATGAGCCATAACTCACTGATTTTAATCCAATCATGTAATATTGTACTCCCTCCTTTGTCTATATTGTTGAGTAACCAGGGTGCCCTTCAATCAGTCGTTTACAAAAGTCTTCTGCTTTTAAAGAAAGATGAATATATTATATAATAGTTTAAAAGTCAATTATCCAACTTAAAACGACACGCCTAAAAGACAAATTTTGAATATTTTTTACATTTTATTTTATTATTCATAATAATTTCATGTGCCACATAAGTAATATTTACTTCAATGGGGGAAATTTTATTTACTTCTGTAATCTCACTGAAGTAAGTACCTCTTTTTTTGTTGTTATAATAGCATGAGGACATTTATACACCTAAAACTATTTGTTTACCAAAATTTCCCTAATTAATAGTTTTAATTGCTGACAACTAAATTTGTGTACTAGGCTAAGGTGAAAAGGCTCCATAAACATGCATGGCTAGCTATTTCACAAATACAAGTATTTTTTTATGCAACAAGATTATTTGTTATTTTTTTCCAACACAATAATTCTTTAAAAGTGACTTAGAGAAATAAAAGAGGGGGTATAGACTCACTTTTGCATAATGGTGCAAGATGCAACACATTCTTCTGATCACTATAAATAATTTGAGTCCAACCTTCCTTTTCATATTGATAGCCAAGAACAAAACATTTTTTTGACTCGTAATAATGACATCTTCATCCACTGATATAATATACATTGCAAACTTTTCATATTGACGGGCAATGGCCAAGGACAATGGTGTATCTTCATCAATATCCTGCACTAACCAGGGATGCAGATCGACATTGATGTTCGGCAATTCTTGTTTGTATAGATCTATGAGCAATTTTGCTATTTCAATAGCAACTTCTTCGCTAGAGGTAAACTCCGCCAGAGTATGTAGAGGGTTGTCATTAAATTCGTTTGTTAAAGAGACCATTTTAGCAAAAACTCTCTTTACATCAGGGATAATATCATGGCATTTTAGAAGACATTGAAATGGCCATATTTTACCATCAATTACCCAGTGATAGAATACCGAATTTTCATTCTCATCAATGTGTTCAATTAGTCCTTGTTCTCTTTGAAGCAACTGTTGAAAGATTTCTTCTGCTTCCTCTGCATCCAGATATGTTTTTCATGAGATACACATATGTACACCGTATAAATTAGAAATTTAGTTAAAAGTAGCTAAATAGTTTGTAGAGTATAATGCTAAATATATTATCGCAAATTTGACCTCAACACCCAAAACTATAACTTAGGTGCAAACATCTCAAACTTTAACTAATAGTTGGAACACCATCAACTATTGATTAGAGTGCAAAGCGTGTCATTAATGGGCTTTTTGGCACTCAAAATAAGGCATATTTCGTAATTAAAGGTCATTAATGGCACACGTTGCACCTAAATCAATAGCTGGTGGTGCTCCAACTACTAATCAAAGTTTAGGATGCTGAGTGCATCCAAGCTATACTTCAGGGTGTTGAAGCCAATTTTGTCAAAAAAAATTGCTTATAAACGAATTTGAAAGCAATGATTGTACACATAGAAAGTTCAATATAATCAGGGTGAAGTACAATTGGAAAAAGGTAGTGAGATATGTGTGTTACCATCTGAGGATTTCTCAACCTATAATAACAACAATTCGTATTAGGGGTGAAAAAGATATTTGAGCACCCAACTATGAAATTAGACCGGTTTGTAACTAATTGTTCTAGATCCGCAACTAGTTTCATTGGGTCTAGGTCTAAAACCAAAAATAATGACATATCAATTTGAACTAACTATAATTCCGAGTTATATACTTTGAACCTGATACCTATTAAACGGGTATGGCATGTACCTATCATGAGTGTCCTCTTTACAACTCAAGGTAGTTCCACACCATATGGTAATTAGGGGACGGAGTAACCCCTTAGATTTATGAAATGGACACAACTTTCTATTTTTCTTCAATGTGGGATGATACACATCACAACACTCAACTTCACACTTATTATTTGTTTAAAGTGGGACAACACTTTCGCTCACATGTTGATTTGTTCATGGGATCAACACTCCCCTCACATGTGTGTATTGCCGTTATGATGTAATATGTTTTCAAAAATAAACTAGTGTGTTGGTATTGATGTTTTATTTGATTGTGTTAATTATTTTAGGCCGAGGGAATAATAATAAATGTAAAATTTTGTAATATTTAAAGGAGTGGATGAGGATGTACAAAAGGGACATGAAACTTACCTGAGCTATTTAAAAAATGTATCGAGTGGAGCGGATTTAGACCATTAAATCCAGTGAAACAAATAGAATGAGGAGACCGCAATATCTCCAAAGCTAACTTGCTTAACTTATTATTTACAGCATCGTAAATTATGTAGGCGCCTCGATCATCAGGCATATTGCAAAGCAACTCCATATCCATTTTTAATATTTCCAACGCACATTCTTCGTGATCGTACGCAATAGCCGTGTAGCAAGGGGTATCTCCCTCGGTATTTTGCTGTAACCAGGGTCGTTCCGAACGTTGAGATGGTAATTCTGATAAACCTCGATACACATCTAGAAACACCCTCACTGTTTCTGTATTGCCGTTAGCTGCTGCTACATGAAGAGGATTGGATTTCACTGGTTCCCATGGTTGGAGGAGGAGTTGTTGCGTGTTTTCCTGTGGTGTTATTTGAATAGCCTCCTTTATAAATTCTTCTCTGTTATTGTACGCCGCCATGTGGAAGATGTTTCCATGACTTCGGTCATCTTCATCGGAATCATCACTGTTTTTGGGGTAATAACTTAAGTAGTATTCGATGGGTTTATTGGATTTCACACAATTCCTAAGAAACTCCACATCTCCACTCATGGCTGCATCTCTCAGCTCCTCATCCATCATTGCTGATGTTGTTGAGGCCATGTTTTTAAATTATGATGAAGCTTTTCAGTTTTGTATTTTTGTGTTTTGCTTACTTCTTTCAAATTCAATATGGTTTAATTTGGTAGCACCTTAGCTTCTTCTCCAGTATCTTGTCTTGTACCAGTTTTCATTTAAGCGTACCACTTGTTATTAATAAAATGCATTACTATTTTTAATGTGACTAAAGTCATTGCGTTACAAAGTTTTAAATGTTATAAAATATTGTGTAGATGTTCATTATACCCCTTATATTATTTCGAAATTTTTTAGATCTAGGGTGTGTTGGCATGTCGAGTTTTTGGTGGGTTTAAACGGTTTTGATTAAAATATGATAAGGGGAAAACTCAAAACATTAGTAAAATAATTATCGAACATTGAAGAAGAATATATAATTGAGTAGTTGTTTGATTTTTTTTTTATAAAGTACCATCAATATTTTTGCTAGATATATAATCGTGCAATAGATGTAATATATGACCAATACAAACTGAAAATTTTCTTTATAATTGATAGATGCACGCATAAAACTATGAGAATGGAAGTTACTCTTTCTTAAAACGAAATCTAAAATTTAAAATTTTGTGATAAATAGAACTGAATAAAGTTGACTGGTTTGAAGCTTTGCCGCTTTGGTTTGAGTCATGCCGGCTTTGATTACGGATCAAATCAAACTCTTCTCGAGTCTTGTACCCCTGCATTTAAATCATATCTTTTGGTTTAGTTTTATAAGAGGTAGAACCAATTTTCTCAATTTAGACTTCTAGAGCAAAGATGTTGGATGATGATTTGAACCCTAACTTTGCTCTTGACATCATGTTGTAAGGTATCTTAATAAAAAAAACTAAACTTAATAATTAAGGCCTAGAAATAATATTTATAATCTATCACTTCTATCAAAGCCTTCTACATTTTCATTGCTAAAATTTTTTTTGGCTAGTTTTGTAACGATAAGACCTGTTCAATGGGTTAGGGGCCCATTTAAAGCCCTGACCCGGCCCGTTTATAAAAGGTTTTTATCTATCCAATATTTAAATGAGACGGGCTTTTAAAGAGTTATTAAATAATGGGCTTTTAAAGGGTTGGGTCTAAGTTAAAAAGAGTTGAGATTGGATAACTCTTATGAAGTTTTTTTTAACCTAATTTTTCTGTTTCTAAAACTTCCTAACATTAAATTATGATACCTTGAAAATAAAAATTCCCAATTTCCCCCAAATTATGAACCCAAAAAAAAAATTCCTAGATTCTAAACCCTAAAAAAGTCTACTTACGTCAATCTTCCTGCTGCTGCTCTCAATCTTCAATTCATCACCCTTCTTCTTGCTCGCAACTGCAAAATCTCACAAGTCAAGTGACACTTTCGGCTTTGATTTTGTCGATTGGCTGAGAATTCTCACTCCATCATCGGTAAGTATGCTTTCACCAAATCAAATCAAACTTTTAATCATTGGAATCCGGCAACACCACATTCAAAACATAATTCATCCAAAATCAGAGCATAACTAATAATGAAAGGGAAATTACTACTACTATCAAAGGAATAAAACATACTAAGTATAAGAAATTAATTGAGAAAAAAAGAATGCAATACCCAGCATAATGGAAGTGGCGAGGAGTTTATTAAGAAAAACCTTCGAAACCCTTAAATGATCGAAACTCGATTTGGTGCTAAGAGAACAGGGAATTCAGTGAGAGTGGAAAAAGTAAAAATTTTAGGGAACTGCAGTAGTGAAATCGTGGAGTATACAGAGTAATAGTGTGGGAAGTGGGTGATTGCATTTTTTTTATTCTTTTTTTTTATTTAAAAAAAAAGTCTTATCAACGGCAGATTAATTGCGTTTCACGAATTTTATTAATCTTTTTGAAGTTGTAATCTGAAATCTAATATATATATATATATATATATAAAGTAGGTATTTTTAGAGAGCATTCGACGCGCCACGTAAGCAAAGGTATGTTTTCGACCAATTAAAAATTAAATTTCAATTTTATTTTGGAATTAAAAAATTCGTTTGCCACCTACGTAAAAGTGACGAATGGAATTTAAGAGTTTTGCCACGTAATTTCTATCTTATTTTGGAAAAAAAAAAATCGTTTGTCATCTAAACAAAAGTGACGAATGAGAATAAAGATTTAATTTATGTAAAAAACTTAAAATTATCTTTTAAAATAATCATCTTGATTTATCTTTAAAACCTTAAGAAATAAAAATATTGTATCATGGCTAATGGTGGGACCTTTAATGATATAAATGGACCCCACGCGAGCTCAACCCCATTGCATTATAACCGTATCAATAATTATGATCAATAATTTGATTTAAAAAATTTATCCTTTTACAATAACTTAATGTTGGTCATACGTGTATATATATATATATATATATATATATATATATATATATATATATATATATATATATATATATATATATATATATATATATATATATATATATATTTTTAACGGATATGTATGTACTTCGTAGTTCAATGATTAATAAAATGATAAAATTTAAGTTGAGAAAAAGATATAAATTGATTTAATTAGCTTATGATTTGTAATTATTATAAATAGACATTAATTTAATTCACGCACCATCAAAGAATCACACAATATCTCATACAAAACAAATTTCATATTGAGGTTTAAGAAAATGTCGGTGTAATTCCTTAAACTCAATTTTTTTTTTAAATTATAATTACTGGTAATATTATTTTTAATTATTTTTTCACTGTATAGTTTTCTTAGGTCTAATTCGTCGATTCGAGAACTTAATTCTTCCAAAAATGATTGGAAAATTAAAGTACGCGTATCAAGGCTTTTTGATGTTTTGAACTTTCGAAAACATAATAGTTTGATTAGTTTGGACATGGTTTTAATTGACGAAGTGGTATGCCTTTAATTTTATTTTTTTTATTTGATAATACTTATCGTTCTAAATTCATTGAATAATATATAATACCTTTTGAAATTCATTGTGTAACTTACAATATTATTTTGCATATGTAGGTCGATTATGTCCATGCTTCAATCAAAGGAAAATTTGTCCAACAATTTCGTTCAAAACTAATTGAAGGCAAAGTTTACACAATTCGATATTTTTCTGTTGTACCTAACAAGAATGAATATCGTGTTGTGAGTGATAACAAGATAATGATACAATTTTTTCAAAATACATCTGTTAAGGGCGTTGCAGATAATAATAAAATTCCGTTGCACATATTTGATTTTGTTCAATTGCAACATTTAGATAAGTTCTGTAGTAATGCAACACTCCCTGGTATATATTTTACATATTTTCAATTTTTATTTTTTTTAAAAAATTTTATAGTGTTATCATTCGTTTTACTAATTTTTTTTTTACAAGATGTGGTTGGTATGGTTGTAAAAGAAATTGGAGATTCAATTGAAATAGAAGACAAATGGTAATTATTATTTTAATATATTTGTATATATTATTATTATCAATTACGATAAACTGAGTTTTATTATTGTAAGATAATTTATATTTGATTTATTTTAGATTTATTAGTAAATTATTTGTATTTTGATATCATGGTTAGGGGATAACGAATCCAATTAAAGATTTGGGATAATGTATTTCCTGATTATTCAAGACAAAAAGACCTACTTACTGATTCTATTAAGCCTTTTGGTATAGTTGTTACTTCAACAATGGTCAAATACTTTAATGGTAAGTATCATTTATTAATATGGACTATGGAGTAACATGTAAATATATCAAGCTTTTTACGTAGATTTTTTTTTTTTTTTTTTTTTTTTTTTTTTTTTTTTGCATTGATGACGTGTTGTGTAAAAAGGTGTGATTTTTTAACTTAATTAAGCAAAGTAGTGTTATCAAGAAATTGCTAAGCTTTTTATAAAGTATGTTGCTACGTGTGCATAAGAATGTCTGCTGCTTTGTACTATTATTGATTGATTCAATTAAATTGGATGTAGTGTTCGACCGTCTAAGTTACACCGAGATTATGTTTTGGCCAGGGTAACGGATATATTGCATAATCAGAGTGTCGAACTTGATATGATGCTTTTAAAATTTGTGTTCGGTAATTATTACCTTATTATGAGATTGCTTCTAGAGTTCTAGCTAATTATCATCATAGGCCAAGGATTGATTCTTTACCCATTGGAGGTTGGATTATATTTATTTTCCGGTTATTTCATGAAATGTTTATAGGGAAAATTAATCTATATATTTTTTCATCATCCAAAATTTATATTTATCTTCAAATTTCTGAGGTTGATGAATTGAAATATTTGTGGAGGTATGTTATTTCAATATTTAATTTTTATGCTATTCTTTCTACATAAATATGTCAATTATATAAGATCATTATAATGTAGTGAGAAGTTAGATAATGCTACCATTGGAAAACTTGAAATTCAGCATATCAACATTGGACCGGAAGAAATCAACTCTAAAAAAGTTGATATCTTAATACTTATGAATCATGTTCAAAAAACTTTAGAAAAGGTATTTTAAAATACATCACTTTATTATACTTATTACGAAGTATATGATAAATCTTAAATTCAAACCTAATTTTATTTTTAAAATCACATAGGATTTGATCTTCTATTGCATTGCTAAAGTGGATACAATTATGAGTGAAAATAGTTGGTATTATATCTCATGCCCAGCATGTAAAAGACGTATCAGTCCAAGAAAAACAGATTTTTGGTGCATTCCTTGTGAGAAACAAATTGAAAGGCCCATCCCAAGGTTTGTTTCAAATTTCTTCTTTATCCATATTACAATAATAATAGATTTTACGAATAATAAATTATATAATGCCTAATTTCTTCATGCATTATTTTTTTTTTCTCAATCAGATATCGATTGGAGCTTAGTGTTATCGATCATAGTGGGTCAACAATATTTGTAGTTTTTTATGAAGAAGCTAAGAAACTGGTAGGACAAGATGCAAGTACTCTTTTTGAGGCTCATATTTATGAAAAGGTTTTAAAAATTGCTTTTAAACAATAGTTGAAAGATTAAATTGTTCTACCAATGCTTTTATCACTTATTTCAATTAAAATTGACAGATCAATGATCATAATGATGATGATAATGATGATGATAATGACAATGAAGATGATGATACACAAATTCCAAAGATGATTGCAAATATCATTGGAAGAGAGTTAGTGTTCAAAGTTAAAATCACCGCTTATAATCGTACAACAATTTGACAAACTTTTACGGTGATAAGAATTTTTGACAAAAGTGTCATTGAGGTACTAAATAATTGTTACAAGTATTTAATGTTTATTTAGAAGTCATGAATTTAAAATTTTTATTTCTTAAAACTTTACATAAATAATTTTGATGTAGAATAAAAATGTCATAAAAAATAATGAAGATATTTCAAAAGATGAAGTTACAGTTGTTGAAGAAACCGCAAAACGCCTTTTTGATAATATCGATTCAACGGAAAAGAATCATGATTCATCCGACCAAATCACATCAAAGAAGATAAAGGTATATATTTTTTAGGGTATATATAATTTATTTAGATATTTTTTACTATTTTCAATTTTATCTAATAGATTATTTAATAGTATATTAATATTAACACTTTAATTTGTGTACTTTGTGTATGATGCAGGTTTAGTTTTATGTATCAAGGATTCTCTCGAAACATAATAAAACACCATATTCAAGAAATAGAGATTTAGATGATAGTAACAAATAATACTTTTGTTAGCTTTTTAATTTTTTTTTATTATGTAACAACTTTCGAGATTCTAGATGATAGTTTTTCTTTTATATATGTTTTATTATTAGCAGCAAATCATATACTTAATACTTTTGCTTACCTTTATTTTTGAATTGTTATATCAATTTTAATAGTTTACCAATAAGATACAAATCTTAAATAATATGTTAAATCTACCCAAAAATAGCGAAAATAATTAATTCAAAAAAAACTTTGTAGTTGAAATAAGATATGACTACAGCCTCAACCATCATTGATGCGGAATCAGTTGTACGTACAATCATAGGAGAGTATGAGTTTAATGGAGAGGAAGGAGTAATATATTTTCAAAATTAACATTTAACTTAACACCAATGAAATTATTTAAAATATGAAGGGTATTCATGAGGGGAGTGCATGTAGTCCACATTTAGACTCACTTCATTCAAATTTCCAACAAAAGTAAGGGTAGCACTCAGTTTTTTTTTTAAGCTAATAGAGCATTATCATAAACCATATTTCAAGGCCCTCTCAGAAGACATACTACAAAAGAAAAGGTGATTGTTCAAACATCCAGAACTAATACTTACAGAAGATCAAATAAAGACATTCACCCTTTTGGAGATTGATAGAATCCTTGTGAAATTCGGGAAGTCATTAGCCGATTTCAAAGATATGCCACAACCTGAATTCACTGAAGCAGAGTGCATGGAAAACAAGCTTATAGCAGAAGAAAGACTATACGACACCAAGCAACAGCAAGAAGAGTGGTCAAGCAGAGTAACAAAACTAAACAAAGAGCAATTAGTTGTTTATGACAGAGTTGTGCAGGACTGCAGGCTGTACAGAACGAAACAGGGGAGATATTTTTTGTCTATGGCCACGGAGGGACTGGAAAGACTTTCCTATACTGCACCATATCAGCAAGACTTCGTGCTGAAAAGAAAATTGTTCTAAATGTAGCATCATCAGGTAAAGCATTAATCTTTAAAAATACTATTAGTAAATTCAAACGCTACGTGCTATTAAATTAAAATTCATAATTGACAATTTAGTCACATCTTTACGATATGTAATCTGGGTAATATAACAAAAAACAGAAAAAAAATAAAAAAAAATCCACTCACTTCTCTTTAAACCACAAATCAGGTATTGCGGCCCTGCTATTACCTGGAGGAAGAACAGCACACAGCAGGTTTGAGATACCGATTGACCTACTAGAGAATTCAACATGTAATATCAGTCGTAAAACACAGCTAGCAGAACTACTACAACAAACATCGTTGATTATATGGGACGAAGCACCAATGGACCACAGGTTTGCATTTGAAGCACTTGATCGCACTATGAGGGACATTGCAGGGTACAAGAACCCAAACGCAGCATCTAAGTTATTTGGTGGGAAGGTGTTATTACTCGGAGGAGACTTCCGGCAAGTTCTCCCCATCGTGCCAAAGGGAGGTAGACAAGAAATTGTCCAGGCTTCGATCAATAGATCCCACATATGGAAAGATTGCAATGTGTTTATACTGAAACAGAGCATGAGGGTACGAGAAGGGAACACCGAGACAGAGAACTACTTTAAGAATAAGAGGTTTAATGAATGGCTGCTAGCTATGGGAGATGGAAGGCTTGAAACACAAAATGAAGATCACGAAGCCGAAGGAACATGGATTGAAATACCAAGTGAGCATATAGCAAATGTGGATATCTTTGATCTGAAAATGGTCGTGGAGACAATTTACCAAAATTTTGAACAAAGAAGAAATGATGCCAACTACTTGAGGGAGAGGGCTATACTCACACCCCTAAATGATACTACGGATAGCATAAATGACTACATGATGGGTCTCTTACCCATAGAAGAAAAGACCTACAAAAGTTGTGATGAAATATGCTTATCCTCAACAGAATGTGACCAGCAATTTGATGCATATCCTACAGAGTATTTGAACAGTCTAAAGTTACCTGGCTTACCCCACCATGAGCTAAAATTGAAAGAAGGAATGCCGGTCATGCTTCTTAGAAACATAAACCCACCACAAGGGCTGTGCAATGGAACTCGCCTTATTATTACACATCTTGGGAAGTTTGTAATAGAAGGAAAAATCATTACTGGGTCTAAACAGGGAAACAAAGTTTTAATACCTAGAATTGTAATGACATCAACATACCACAAACTGCCATTTATATTGAAAAGAAAACAATACCCTTTAAAGCCTTGCTATGCAATGACAATAAACAAGAGTCAAGGACAGTCACTTTCATATGTGGGAGTATACCTACCGAATCCTGTTTTCAGTCACGGACAACTCTATGTGGCAGCATCAAGAACAACTTCACCAGAAGGCCTAAAGTTTTTTATTGATGATTCTTTACAAAAGTACAAAAGGAGCACAAAGAACATCGTCTACAAAGAAGTTTTCTCAAACTTACCCTCTGTGTAATAGTCATAACTTTTACTTTAGACCCAAATTTTTCATAAAGATTTAAATTTTTTAAGTAATCCATATTATTCATATATATATTTTCAATAATAGTGGTTGTTCCCACTCAATGATACGATATAGAGGAGTACATTTTACAACTCAATTAGTACATGAGCAACAAGAATGAGATAGTATAAAGTAGCTCACATATTAACTTCCACTCAATTACATATAGGATAATAAAAAATCTTATAAGATTGGTATTACTCAATCTAATGAGCGAAACAATTAGAAAATACATTTTTAAGCACAAAACTCTGTCCTTTGTTCTTTAACATCTTTATTTGGTGATTTCATTTTCAGCTTATATACAGGGTATCCCCAAACGCAGTGCTTTTCTTTTGGACAATTAATATTAAAATAATCTTGAATGGTAATAGGAAATTGTCCAAACATAGCCATGAGACACAATAATAAAATGTTATTAAGAATATCACTCAAGATCTGGTGCTCAGATTTATTTCTCAATTTCTATCAAACATCATAAATCTCTCTAAATTTAGAATGTGAACTCTAAACTATAACCAACAGGCCCTAATTCCCAACATTGAGTTCAAATCAGCATCACAGGATTCCAATTGCCCTAATTTCAATAAATTTCATTCTTGCAACAGTTACAGCAAAAAAAAATTAATTGAAAAAAATCTCAGCAATATCCTTCATGAATACAATAAACAACCAAAAAAAATCAAATTTTCCCCTTTAGACAATTTATAATTTCTAAGTTCTAACCATTAAATTTACAGGAAATTCAAGCTCCACAAAATCTAATTAAATTAAAAAAAAAAAAAACAAATCTTTTAACAAAATATATTACAAAAGAAGGTGGGAAAAAGAACCTCTAAACGAGTAAGATTAGAACTTCACCAGCAATCTCTGATGATTCAGACGCAACCATGGCTCACTCCGATAAAAGTCCGACGAATCGGAGGAAAGAGAAGGAAACGAACTTAGACTAAAGGAAGAAACCACAGCATTTGGTCTGCAAATTGAACTCAAATGGCACATAATATCATCCAAAAATGCAAGCTCGAAGATAATCTTTGAATTTGATTACAAAAATTGGGGGAATTTGATTGAATTTAGGGATTTAAGAATTTGTGAATTAGGGATTTTGATTGTTACAGACGTGAATTTAGAGGAAAACGGAGAAACTAACATTTCGGTGGGAAATTAACGGTATCTATGAATTTTGAAGGTGAGTTGATTAACGGTGGATAGTTTGTATTTGTATATCTTTCTTATTCATAGATGGGTCCTTTGTTGCAACCACAATTTTTTTTTTTTTCCATCTTTAGAGAAATAAATACTTTCCGTTGAAAAATAAATAAATAAATAGATATCTGTTTAAATGAGTTAACATGACACAATACAAAAAGTTTGCCAACTCTAATATTTAATAATAATGAGACATTTTAATTAAAAGACATTAGAATGTATGAATAAAATAATTTGAATTATTTTATGAATATGACTAGACATGAGTATTTAAATGGAATTAAAATTGTAAACGAAGTTAATAAAGTAACATAATGTAAACAGACCAAAGAAGCGGAAAAGGATAGGTGGAGTATTTATTTATTTATTCTTTAAAAGAAAGGATATTGACAAAAAAATATAACCAAATTGAATTTTAATGATATTATTAATAAAAATTAGATTTTAATTAATTGTAACAATTTTCCTTTTCTTAAAAAATAATTGTAATAGCTTATCCATTACAGTAATAATGGATGTCTTCATATTTATGGCTTTATCTGTTCTTATTTAACAATAATAAAAAAATATATATATATTACCAAACCCGTGCATTGCACGGGCTTCGCACCTAGTAATATATACTAGATGGAAGTCCGTGCGATGCATGGTTTTTTCATCTATTATTAATTATTTGATTTATTGTATTTAATAATTTCAGACAACAAAAGTTTAATATTTTTTTTTACTATAATTTATAATGAATTTATTAAATATAAATAAATTATAAATATGATATTTTTCCATTATATAAAATCTTTAATGTGAAAATATAATTTTTAATAATTTAAATCCTAAATCATTATTCATTGTTTTACCATATCTTTTATTTTAATAGAATCACCAACCTCGTCCACAACCAACCTACTACATCAATGGATAAAAATGTTAGCCAAACTGAAATTGATATAAATTAAATCTTTACATTTATATAAAATAAATCAATATATTTACCAAAAAATGAAGAATTGCTGCGATATAAAATCAAATCTATGCATTGGAATTTTTTTGTATGTCTATATATTAAGTATAGAACATCTAATCGTATGTTATTACATAAACAAATAATTGTTAAGTATCCTAAATAAATATAATGTAACTAATAATAACAAATATAAAATTAAACATAAGATTTTAAAAATCACCCGGACATTGATTACCTAAAACTAACACAAAATTCGCTTGATGGGGTATTGTATTGATACGAAATTTTATTTGTGTCGTATGATGTGTTAGATTTGCATGTAAAAAAACATTTAGTAAATCAAACATAAACATATAATCGTTGAATATCCCAAATTAATACAATGTAAGTAATATTTAGAAATACTAATTTAAACATAGGATTTTAAAAATTAACCTTAAAATTACCTGACCATTGATGACCAAAAATTAACACAAAATTACTAACACAAAATTCGCTTGATGGGGTTTTTTATTGATACAAATTTTTTTTTTGTGTCGTATGATGTATCAATTTATAATGGTAGGTATCACAAATTTTAATTTAATTATAATTAACGAACAATTTGTATTTCTTATCATAAATACTATCAAAATTTATCTTATATGATAGGTTTCAAATTTTATTATAAGCGTTTATCATTTAAATATTTTTTAGTATGTTTTTTTGGATTTCTTATACTCGTAGTATTGAATTAATAAATTTATCTTTTTCTATATTTTTACTTTTTTTTCATTAAAATAATTTAATTCGTGGATTATAATCTACGTGACATTAAAATTTTAGATATATCAAATATAATTCATTAATTTTATCTAGGTGGCGATGCACGTTTTTTTTTTCATACATAAATCTCAAGAAAAGATATTTTCCTATAGACTCTAAGTTTATATATATATATATATATATATATATATATATATATATATATATAATTATTTGATTTATTTTACTATTTAATAATTTTAGACGAAAAAAACACATAATAATTTAATTAAACTGTTATTGCCTATTACAAAAGTATATTTTTTTAAGTAATTTATTATGCGACTTTATTTATTGTTGTTTTGTATTTTATTCGTTGTTGTTAGTTATATGACAACTGAATTTAATAATATGAATAAATTGTAAATATGATATCTAAAAAAAAATTGTAAATATGATATTTTATTGATTACATATTAGGTTAAAATCTTTAATGTGAAAATATTTTTTTTTTCATTTTTTGAATAATTTAATCCTAAATCATTATTAGTTGTTTTTAAAAAAATAGAAATAATAAAAAATAATATAAAACATGTATACTATTTATCTTCTATTTTAATAGAATCACCTACTTCGTTCACAACCATATCTCTTATAAAAGTGGATAAATAAAACATGTTAGCAAAAAAAAATAAAATATATATATATATATATATATATATATATATATATATATATATATATAATTAACCGTTATAATCTTATAAAATAAATCAATATATTTACCATGAAGTGAAAAATTGTTGTGAAATTGATCTACAAATTGTAATTGTACAAAATCAAATCTATGCATTGGAATTTTTTCATCGTCCCTAATCGCCCGAACAATAGTATTTTGAAAAATTGAATCATTATTTTTTTGTCACTGACAATGCGTGCAATATTGCTTCTTATTTGTAACGAATGAAAAGTATTTAATTGAGTAAACTTTTTTTTCAATTAATTTTGGACAAATTGTACAAAGTTGGCTTTAATTGAGGTATAAACGTAAAACAAAACGTAAACAAAAGATAAACATATAATCGTTAAGTATTCCAATTAAACACAATATAAGCAATAATCACAAATATACATTTAAACATAGATTTAAAAATTAAGCTAAGAATTACTTTGCCATTGATGACTAAAACTGACACAAAATTCGCTTGATTTGGTTTTGTATTGATACGAAATTTTGTTGGTGTTGTAGGATGCGTCTATTTATAATGGTATGCATCATAAATTTTAATTTATTTATTATTAAAGAATAATTTTTATTTCTTATCATAAACACTATCAAGATTTATCTTAGATATATAAATCCTATATCTAAAGATGATTTTTTAAAAATAATTTTTAGTTTTTTAAATAAATTAAATCCTAATAAATCACTATTCATTGTTTTAACTACGTGGCAAAATTCTTAAATCTCATTCGTCACTTTTTCTTAGGTGGCGAGTGAATTTATTAATTCTAAAATAAAATACAAATATAATTTTTAATTGGTCGAAATAATACCTTTTCTTACGTGGCGCGCCAAATGCTTTCCAAAAATGCTTACTTTATTTATATATATTAGATTTTCATGGTTGTTGTAGTTTGTTTATACATTTTGAATGGGGTGGGCTGGACTGGGCTTAATGGCCCATGGACAAGCTCGACCCATTTCGGGTTAGGCTTGATCTGGCCCGGCCCAATCCATTTCATATAAAGCCCGGCTCAGCCCAGCCCGGCCCGTTGAATAGGTCTAGATTGATACATAAAGGAAAAAATTAAGCAAACCTTTGTCAGCTTGTCACTTGAAAGTCGAAAATGTTTCAATTCAAGTTAATTTCATAAAGTTTAGAGATTAACATCACATTATAGACTTGGCCATAATACATAAATTAAAATTTTGATATATTTCATTCAGATATGAAGTAGACAGGAAAGTCAATCGAATTTACCAATTCGACCAATCGCAATGGATCTTTGCACTCCCTATTTGCTACAG